GAAAAGAGAGGCAGTCTACACAAGCACGAACACCACACGTTCGTCTGGTGGCTATCACGCTCTCCTACAAAACTTATCAACATCAGGAGTACCCTCTTCAGTTTGCGCAAGGAGGTCCCGGGGGTGCCAAGAAGCTCGTGCACAACTGTGACCATGCACACACGGCAAACTCGGCAACAACGTACTTCGTACACGCCTGCACGCTCGCAAAGAAATACGCTCCTATCCACGGAGGTCGATATTTTGCATTTGCTGTACCTTGCATGTGCGTATCTACAACAATTTCTAGGCTAGACTACAGCAGTACGCAAGGCAGAAGCCGCTTACATGTGGAGGACAGGGGTGGAGGCGTGGTAACCATGGCTGCACACAAAGAGTACGAAAGATACGTATCTTGCTGATGGTTGAACAACAAGAAACCCGACTAACGGATGCGACCTTTTCAGCGCCACCCGCGGAGATGGGAATGAGGCCTTCGGTCCTCCCCTCCCTCTCCCCTGCCGTGGCACTCCCTCTCTCTTCTGAGACATTCTCCTAACCAAATCTCAACAAGAGAGAACTGCCAGCCCCCGGTAGTGGGTAAATACTAATGCGACACTGCGACCTGCCGGTCTCCTTCGACCGAGGGAAGCCTAGCATACACACGTAATAACACATTGCTACCGGCGTGGAGGACGCTGGTGGGCAGGCGTATGCTGAGCCGTTGTATGGGCGCTGCTACTGCTGTATGTACTGGTAAACATGTACCGCTCGCTGTTGAAAGTGCCACAAAAGGAAGGCGGAGAAAAAGCAAGCTTCTGAGTACAGCCCCGGCTGAGACGTTCTTCTATACCGAAAGGCACAGACTGACGCCCAGAACATGGACGAAACATGACACACGCATCCAACCGCGGCTGTGAACATAAGCATACTCACTTCCAACTCGAAACTTATGGATGCCCATCAGGGTTCCTGTCCCGATGCCTGCCATGAGTGCGTTGCGGACGCAGGGTTTCTTCAAGATTGAAGTGCCATTGCCTTTTACCCACTCCAGTTGTTCTGGCCACGATTCAGAGGGCATGTTGCTATCTCAGAGAGAGCTGCGTGGAGAGGAGACTGTGTACTGCTGTAGCTGGAGCACGGGCCAGGAAGCGGCAAGGGGCGACGCAAACTCGAGGGAGTTCCGAACCAAACTCGAGAATTTTTCAGGAAGACTTTTCTTGGTTCGGTTCTTCTTCTGCCCGCGGTTCTGACCTGTTCTGGTTCTGACCAGGACGGGTTGGCTAGCAGTGGCTAACAGTGGCTAGTGGCCAGGGGGCCTAGTGGCTAGTGGTAGTGGTAGAGGCAAGAGAGAGAGGCTAGAGACTATAATAGAGGTGAGAGGTGAGAGGTTTGAGGTTAGAGGTGGTAGCCGTCCTTCGTTCCGAACAAAAACGATGACAGCAAAACGCATCGTCTAAGACTAGTGGTGACAATCTCATGGGACAACAGCTAAAAGCACCAAAGAGAGGCCACACCTGACTACATATGTGTAGAAGTGTAGATACCATGAACATTTTTCAAAAAGTGTGTTCTTGTGAATCGGCAGCCTTCTCACCTCTCGCAATCACTTCGTGAAGTGCTTCTACAGCTGCAGCTGCTGCTACCAAACAAAGCTGAGACAGGAACCGAGGACGAACTTTATAAGACGCGCGACCAAGCTTTGGGATGGCCGTGAGCAAGATCGCTGAGTTCTGCGCCGAGCGCCAAGAACGACTGTTCGTCCAGGTGAAGAATGAGCAGCCGTCAACATCAAGGCGGAGTTCTGGATCTTCCTACACGGCCGATGGGATGGTCGACATACATATTCGCTGGAAGTTGCTTCATGCCGCAAGAACGCGATGCAGCTAGAGGTGCGGCCATCAGCCAGAGATGCTACACAAGATCATCGCTCGGTGCTGCCAGCTCCAGCGGAGAGACTGTTTTGGCTTTCTTCACTCTCACATTTGGATCGTCAAGGGGGGGAAGAACAGCGGTTTTGACGCTGGCTCTTTTCCCATACTTTCATCCTATACAAAGAAAGAAGACAACCTTCCTTCCCGCCGGGGTTAGGTTAGGCATTCTATTGTCATCAGTAGAGGACACCATGAAGAGGCGTCGTGCGTGCTGGCACGTTCAGGTTTGCTACTGGAGCGGAAATATCGAAGGTCGCAGCAGCCTTTGAAAATAGTCCGAAATCTGCGCAGGAACCAAGCGGCATCCAACATTTGTCACAGCCATGCTCACCGCCACGGACCGTAAACCCCTGAACGGAGGGGTGTCAGCAGTATAGCTAGTGGCACAGCTACTGCTGAAAACCGGTAGCTCAGGAGATTGGGGTCGGTGACGGCGAGCATAGCTGTGACAAATGTTGGATGCCACTTGGTTCCGGCGCAGATTTCGGACTGTTTTCAAAGGCTGCTGCGACCTCCGATATTTCAGCTCCAGTAGCAAACCTGAACGTGCCAGCACGCACGACGCCTCTTCATGGATGTCCTCTACTGCTGACAATAGAATGCCTAACTTAACCCTCAAAACTGACCTTATTTTGAACGCCTTCCGTTTTGGCTCTTTTGTCTTGCATTTAGAATGGAGCGAATTTTTATCTTGATTTCAAAGGAAGCCTGTGGAGGTAGACGCATTAAATGTATGTTTTGAGCAGCCTATACTGCCGCCCTGTGCGAGAATCAACGATTGCTGTTGTTCGCGATGCCTCCCGACTGGTCTTGTATGTCTGTCGTACAATTTCTGGACCTCTTGCGTTTGTTTTCAAAATTCGTCAACATCAAAATTGCTCTTCTTCCCCCCGTTAAGCCCTTGGCAGGAAATGCGGCTACGCTGGTTCTAGCACAAGGCTATCATACGGCGTTCGTTGTAGCGTAACAATGAGGCTTTCAAGGTGTTGTTTCTCTTGAGAGCGAGACCTTCTAATCCACACTCTGGGTTGCCCACGGTGCCTCCTTTCATCTGTGGGAAAGGTGCTTCTTTTGCGTTTGCCCCCATTTAGAAGCGCTTGCCCTCCAAACACAGATAAACGCGGTGAAAATTCGCTGTTGAACCCGACCCCGCGATTCGACCTGCAATTTTGCACTCTCATACTCCTCTAGGAAGCATCCACACTAGAAGACCACATGTAATATGTATAGTTTTGCCCTGCGTACCCCGGCACCCCGCCTTGACGAGAAGCTCAAAGGAGGACACATCGATATCATTCTATGCGAGGTAAAACAGGTGAAGAACACTGGGTCCAAAACGTGCCACCAAGAGTCGATCTAGCCCTAGAGGGGTTGAAACCGCTGGAGCTGCAAGCAGTCAAACGACGATGGCACGGTGCGGGCAAGCCCGGCAGCACTAACCAGTAAGAGCGAGTCCAACGGTCGGAGTGGCTTTCCAGCTTTTCTTGTCAACGTACACCGTGTGTGGCGATGCTGGTGCAAAAATCCAAACGCCCTGCTGTGAAGACCCTTTCTCAGGAAAGAGCCGGACGATGCCAGCAACCGATCCAGCAAGAACACCTTGATTCCCGCCATTGCGGCTCTCTACTTCGTCAAGACCGAGGCCGAGTGGTTGATACTGCGGTTCGGGTCCCTGTTGACCAAAACAAACTGGTGTGATCGCTGTTGTAAGTGAACGTCTATTTTGCAGTAAAACGTAGAGATCGTTGGTAAGATCTGGTAAGATGTAACCCACAAACATGAAGTTAGAACCGCAACGAGTTTCGACGACCCTTCTTGGAATTTAATGGTGGATTCGAACAGAAATAAACTGGGTGCGCGTGAGAACGTCTGCTTGAAAGGGAACACGGTAGGACCGCGAACTACGATAGATGTTGCATCGTCAATGCGACGTGTCAAGACGTGCCAAGAAGCCGAGAAGCGTTATAATGTGAATGGGGGCTCCGGGTGAGAAGGTTCCAAGTAAAAAGAACATAATATCCTGGTAACGATCAAGACATGATCGTTTTTACATTTTACGGTAAGGGAGAGGCTCTTCCTAGAGAGAGTGCCCCGTTCCTAATGTAGCGCAAACCCGGGGTCACCATGACGCCTCAGGTCTCTCATAATAACTCACAGGGCTCCGGATCAACCGAGCACTGTCTACTTACAACATACAACAGCTACCACGACAAGGGTCGTGTGCCGCGGTAACAAGGGACGCCAATCCCGGTGGTCGCAATGCGTCATCTATCAACTTCTGTAGGAATATTACTATGTCTTCTGGCAAACATTTATGAAGACTTCGGTATGAACCCCGCCGGCGGCGGGGGGTCAGGTACTCCCCGCATCCAAGGGTGTTCGAGAGCGGCTTGTAGCCCGATGCGTTGGAGCGGATCCTTGCACAGCATCCCCCGAAGCAAAGAGGCCAAGTCGGGAGAAACCGCCTTCCCCACATCCACTTCCTGCCCCTTGATCTTCTCAAACACCCGCTCTAGAGATGGGTCGTGAAACGGCAGGCATCCAAAGGTCCAGCAGTAGAGGGTGCACGCCGCGGCCCAGGCGTCGGCTGCACGCCCGGAGTAGGTTTTCCCGTCACCCATAACGCTCTCCGGGGAGTGGAAGGTGTAGGTCCCCACCGAACCCGTAAGACCTTCCTCCTCCTCCTCGTCCTGCTCTATTGCCGCTTCTCCTTGTCGTTGATGTTGCTGCTGCCCTGCGTGATGTTGTGGTTGTTGTTGGTCTTCTCCCTGACACCGCCCCATCGCTTCGCTGCCGTTGGCGTCTTTGCTTTTGGACGGCTGTCGGCGCACGATTTTCACGTAGCGAGCGCACCCGAAGTCGCAGATTCGGAGAGTCCCGTTCTCGAAGATGAGGAGATTGTCCGGCTGTCGTTGAGGATAGTTGCGGTGAGGGGCGAGGGGAGAGAGTCGCACACACACACACGAGAGGCAGACAGCAGAGAGAGGTAGACGAAACATAATAATAAAGCCATACTGAGGGAGCATCCAAATGTCTGTTTCGAGGTAACGGGGGTGCTATTCTTGCAAGCATCATACGGGGAGAATGCCGAAATCTAATGCTCCATTCGACAATGTCCAGCGGTAGACACCCCAAAACACGAAGCCCTCACGATAACACACCGGTCCCCATGAACACACCTTGACGTCACGGTGGACGATGTTCTTTCCGTGAAGGTACAGCAGCCCTTGTAGCAGATCGCGGAAGAGAGGCTTGGCCTCATCCTCCGAGTAGAAGCTCCCTGCACCTGCACCCCCGCCCCCACCAGCCTTAGTGCCAGAACCACCCCCATCAGGACGTTTGAATAACCCCGATTCGTCGTCGAACGTCATGGTCGGCCCCCCTTCCATGTACTCCTGCACCATGCACACGCGCCCCTCCTGGCCGTCCTCCCACCCATCTTGCTCCTCTAGCACCTCGAACAAGAGTACAACACTCCGGTGGTAGAGGTGTCTCATCACTTCTATCTCTTGTCGCATCTATAAGAAAGGAGCCAAAGAGGCGGTGGTCCCAGCGGCAGCGTTACACGCGCACAGAGGACGGCAGAGGGATGCGAGAAAGACCCGAGTTGACGGCACCCAACACAGCCCGTGGACAAGGTTCGTATTGCCGCCTAACAGCACAAAATAACAGAACGAAACAAGACTGATGCAGAGAGGATAGACGGAAACATGCGGCGTGCAGACAGGTGAGCACGGCTGTGTTTCTTTGAGGCACAATCGTGCGCACGCACCTTTTCCTCGGCGGTCACCTTCCGCATGCCACCCGCGGGCACGTTCACGTACTCGCTCAGCCGCCTGAGCCTGGGCTTGCTCATGACCTTCATGGCGAAGCGTCGCCACGGGGTGGCCACGCCGTCGCCGACCCGCCTCTCGCACAGGTAAACCCTGCCGTAGGACCCCTTCCCGAGCTCTTCGAGGATTACGTACTCGTTGACTGTCTGCTGGCCCTCCTCGTTCTTGCTCCATCGGGCGTTATTAGTAAAAAGGCAGTCCCACGGCCGCTCTTCTTGCTGCTGCGGCTGCTTAGACTGAAGCGCACGGAGGGGGTGGGGATAAGCGGCAATTTTTGTCTCCGTTTTGGTCCTCTGGCAGATATGGCTGCCCTTCTTGAGCTTTGTGGAGAGCCACCGCACCGCCGTATGTGCGTACAATGAAGCCGCATGTAGGATTCAAGTTCCGAGGTCTGCAACAATGCGTGCTAGTAGATCAGTACTGTGTTGTTGCAGAACCGCGCAACAACATGGCGATGCATAGCACGACTGACTGTAGGTAAAGTGCGAAGTGTCCGTGTGACGCTGCATCTCCATTTTTCTCTCCGTGGGGTGCCTGGTTTGGAGACGAGGGCATGGTTTGAGGCAAATGCAGAAGAGGAGCTCTTCTGTGTGACCACGGATTCGTAGCTCTCCTACGGACTTGCCTCTACTAGTAGCTACAACGGAAGGATCCGTGACCGTAGGGCATTGTGTACACACGGAGATGAACTTCTAGGAACGGCAACCACCGCAGAACCAAGGCAAAAAACATGGAAAAATGAACTACTGTGTGACCGCTGGTGTTGAATCCGCACTGCATACGTAATGTGTAGATAGATGCCAATAATACACATGGTCACGCATACCAGCAGCGCCACTACGCGCAAACGATAACTGACATGTTCAACCGAACCTGATTCCGCCGCATCTTGCATCGCTGCACTTCTTGCGGTTGGTAGTGGTAGACAACAGCAGCGAAACACTGCTTGTATTTTGCAACCAAATACCTTGTACCGGTAGACTATTCTTCTGGAATATAGGAGACGTGTACGCAGTAGGCTCACCTCATCTTCGCCGGCTGAAGCGGTCGCGCCGGTACCGGCAGCAGGAACTTTCGGAGGTTCATTGCAGATGCTAGGGGGTGGCGAAGGTGGACGACCTAAGCTGTCGTCATCATCAATACTCAAACCCGCGTCCTGAGGGGCACTCATGTAATCTCAAGCTCGCTGTGAGGCGTTCCCTGTGCGAGAGAGAGAGAGAGAGAGAGAGCGGGAGAGAGAGACAAGAACGAGCGGAGTGATCCCTTGCAAAAACAGAGCACCATTTTGACACACGATGCACGAGAGAGCGAGAGAGGCCCCCAATCAAACGCCGTCGCCCCCGCATAATTATCCCGCATCCGGACAGCAGTGTAGCGTAAACAATGCAGTGGTACTTGTAGGTGGGTTCTTTGCTGCATACTCTCAATAGGAGAAACGTAGAGGTGAAAAGGTTGTGGGTTCAGTCATGCTTGCTGGCTTTTCTCGGAGATCTGCATTCGCCGCCACAAGGTCGTCACTTTTTGCCCGGCAAGCAAGATCCTCTACTACTCCTTCGCTGTCTTGCAACACCACCAAGAGGACAATGTCTTCCGACCCCGTTGCCCTTCTCCTCGGCGACAAGTTCCCTGATTTCGAGGCAGAGACGACGGCGGTGAGTGGGTGTGTACTGGAATGTTTATGACTGTTGGCCGCAGTGCGCCGGAACAAAAACTATGAGAACATGTTCGATAGCGTGCTTGCCCTGAATCGGAATGCATCGAAAAAAGCTCCGCTCACATGTCGTTGAGAGTCACGGCTGTGCCCCGAACGGTGATTTGTCTTTCTACAGGGACGCCGCTGCTGCGGTTGTCGTCACCCTTCCGATCTCTACCCAGCACTTCCCAGCTTCCCAGTATCAGTACTGGTCCAACTTCCGCGGATGCCTTCCGTGGCCACAGGCGAAAAATAAGTAGTTGTAGACTCTCCACACGACAGCAATTAGTGTACAGCAGCAGTAGAACGAAACATGAGAGAGAATCAATGTAGAACCTCGAAACAAGAAACGCAATGCATCGGAGTTTTGTACGAATACGAGAGTCTCCCTTGCGGACGTGGGTGTCAAGTCTCGCGAAGGGTGACCCTAGGATAACATGCCCAAGATGTTTTGTGCATCTAATGATCGATCAAGTCAAATGTAGTTCTTGTGTTCCATACGAACATAAAACACCGAATGTACCAGCTCGGGCGGACAACAATTCATCCGCATCATCACCCTGCGCTGGTTCGACGATTTTTCTCTTGCGATTACAGCAATTTACCAATTTGGAACTGCATGGTAATGATTGAAGGCAAGCACCGCGGGAGGAACGGTGGTCTTCCTCTTTTGTGACCCGGGCTGGTGTGTCAAACATGCACCGAAAGGGGTCGACAATCCTTTGTCACCGCCTCAAACAGGCACAGCAGTAGGTAGGGTCTTCCCGCTACGACAAAGGGCGGGGTATTTAGCCGCGGGGTATCTACATACGACCTACATATCGTGCGGTAGTCTATCGGCCATGTAGGGCGTTTTTGGACGCCGATGAAAATAAATGAGCAGTGGCCAAAATCGGGTACACCCGGTCCAAACACGGCCATAGTCGGGTACCCCTACAAAATGCTGCTGGGAGCGACCGCATGACACCATCTGATTGGCCGACGCCCGCCCCTACCCGACCTTGACCGTCTTTTCAACGGGTGCACCCGATCTTGGCTACTCACCCCCCGGAGGGGTACCCGGTTTTCTTTCCCCTACCCGAAAATGACCGGGCTGTTCGGACCAAAACCCATGCACATAAGTACACGTGAGCAACGCCCTGCCCTCGAATTCGGACGTTCTGACGGCCCGGCGGGCGAAGGCAGACCCCCCGCCGGCGGTGGAAGCCTCCCTTGGGGGAAACGGCAGGCGGTCTGTGCAAATGATCGAGAAGAAGAGCTGGATGAATCCCTCACTCACGAGATGCGACACAAACAAGACTCTTCTAAGAATAGACATATTCTCTCCCTCCCGCTGCTTTCTCATTGACGACAAACGAGGGCCAGCGGTGTGCCTCCTCCGACCCGTGATTGTGTGCATGGGTTTTGGCCGAACAGCCCGGTCATTTTCGGGTAGGGGAAAGAAAACCGGGTACCCGTCCGGGGGGTGAGTCGCCAAGATCGGGTGCACCCGATGGAAAGACGGTCGAGGTCGGGTAGGAGTGGGCGGCGGCCAATCAGATGGTGTCATGCGGTCGCTCCCAGCAGCGTCTTGTAGGGGTACCCGATCATGGCCGTGTTTGGACCGGGTGTACCCGTTTTTGGACACTGCTCAAAATAAATCACCAGAATAGCGAGGAGTCCAGCCCGCACCACGCCCACACAGTAGCGCGCATCGTTTGTAGTGTAGCTAGGTGCACCAGGAACAGGCGTGCGACAGGCGCGGCGGGAGGTACTTGTATGTGCAGCCCCTATTCATATTACGGTGTATGCGGCGCTAGATTAGCGCTTGTATGGCTTTTTTCTAGGTTAACCCGGTGCGCTATTTACTCAAATTCCGATTACATAAGTTTCCTTGAAGGAGCATTTGACCCTACACAAGTAAGACAGAACACACCTTGGACAATAGGCAATAGGACGATTGCAAATCAATAGGATCCTACCAATCAATATGGGACGGCAGCTGCTGTCTACCATGTGCGTGTCGATGATTCATCGAGACCCCTATTGGCGGTCGTCAAAGCGTATCGATTCGCAATTTCGCTGACTATCGAATCTTTCAATAGTCTATCAACAGAATATCGCTAACCTATCGTAGTGTAAGTCGACCTTCATCGATGCGTATTTTTTGCAAGACATTGTTTTTCCGATACCCTACAATGCTCAGGAATAAAACATGTTGTATTCTTCAATAGGCATCGATGTGTGATGTGTTACCGTAGACGACACAAGATAACACACCCACACAAGAAACCACACCCCCCACAGAATACGACACCCCGGTGATAATTTTGGGCGTTTCTGACAAACCATCGGTTTATCACCGGGGCTACACAAGATAACACACCCCGTGAGGTTACACCGCATACATTCACGGGGCCCCTCCTTCTATCGCCGGGGTGATACAGCATCTGCCCCGTGGGCATGTGGGCATCCCACACACACGCAGCATCTGCGTAACTCTCTTTTGGTCGTACCCAATAGCAAGGTATGCAGCAGCCTACTCTTTTGTATGAGGGGGCAGGACGGTCGGCGCACTCTGTGGCCACCGAGGTCATGAACTCAGGAGTTTTGTCACCTCCGTTGAGCTCCTGCATTTTTACAACATTCCGCAGAACCACAAGTCATGAAGTGTTCGTACAGGCGTTGCTATCACACACCCGGAATACCACACCCCTTCAAGTGTGCGGCAGCAGCGGTTCAACTCTACAAGCAGTGTTATAACACCCCCTTTTTTTTCACACACCCTCATTATCACACCCCCAAACACACCCTGTGGGTATTCGGACGTGCCATCACACCCCCTTTTTATCAATCCCTCATTTATCACACCCCCAAACACACCCTGTGCGTGTTCAGACGTGCTATCACCCCCCGTCAGGGGCCCCTGCGAGCTGCACTTTATCACCCGGGTTACACAAGATACCACACACCCCACAGGATACCACACCCGGTGATAATATTTTTTAAGCCCAAAATGTTGTCACCGGGTGTGTTATCTTGTGTCGTCTACGGTAAGCATGTTGATTTCATCATTGGTATGCATACCGATACGTGATCTTTGCTAGTGACCGAGCACGCAAACTTGAAAATGAGCAACTCCTCTTTGCGGTAGTATATGTCGTGGCTCCCTGTGGTCCCGCCCCTTCGCTAATGAATATCCATCACCTTAGCTAGATGTCGTTGTTGGTGTTCCGCAGCTGCACTCGCACTGCTGTTGAGCTACCGCATCGTATGGCAATTGTGACGAGTGTATCCCATATTCGGTAAGGGTACAATATCGTTATTGCTACCGATTGGTGACTAGTGTTTTCCACCCCAACGTTTAGTAAAAACCAATGTGGTGGATTCCAATAGAAAACACCAATCGGTGATTGGTAAAAAAGCAATCGGTAAGAACAATCAACAGTTTTTGATCGGCAATACCCTATCGGTCGCGCAATAGACTATTGTAGCCTCTGGTGTTAACCTATTGTTTTCTTGCGATGCCTATCGATATTCCGAATCTTATTGCTATGATATGTGACTGTAGTTATTGATAGCTTTTTTTCTGACTTATTAAAAAACTCGAAACCCAATTTCATACCCTATCATCCAAGGTGTGAGGACAGAACATCCAGGTTTGTAGGTGCCCCGGCTATTTTTTTCAGAAGTTTACAAGAAACTCCGGGGAAAAGCGGGTCCCCTAACGACTGAAATTGCACAAGCCTCCATGTCTGTAAAAGAACGACCCGGGCGCGCGCGCGACACAGAGGGAGGGCATAGGAGGCGAGGAGGCACCACAAACAACCGCGAGTATCTCCTATTTCTTATTGCAAAGTGGGGTCGACCGTTTTACATGAAGGAGCACTATAAAAAAATCACGCACGTGCCGTGCGAATAGTTCTTATTATCTAGACCAAACAGCGGGATTGAAATGCCGAGCGGCCCGCTACAGAACTACAGCAGCACTGCAGTACACACTGCGATCTTTGTAGCATCGTCATCATCATCAGCAAACAACAGATCAGCGGTTTGCCGTTTTCTTCCCTCGGCGAAAAGATACATAGTGCCACTTTCGTATGCATTATCATGTTGATGTTTTCAGATGTTGTCTGTTTGTGATCGTCCTTGACAACAGAGCGGAGGCGAGTCGACCGTGCCCGCCCTATTTCTTTCACACCCACCCGGCGAACGTCTGATAGAGAGAAAAGTACCGACTCAACGAAGTACTACCACCGGAGGACCTATGCAACCGCTTTGCAATGCTAAAGGGGGACAATTTCTTGACGTTCGTGGACCAGCAACTGTTGCTATTTTGTTCTGGTCTGTGACCTACCAATCGGTCCCCGCATCAAGAAAAATATTAGATTCACCCACGGGGAAGCACCGGAGCCATGCACCCACACCTCGGCAGTCCCGCCTATACAGGCATGAGCACCGTTTCCCACCCAAGAATGACCTAGGCCTACTCGAGGCCCAGCAACCTAGCACCTACCCTCGCCAGGACCAACCCAGCACCTATCCAAGCAGCGGTAACAACCTAGATTTATCGCATCAACGACAACCTAGCACCTATCCAAGCCTACCAACCTAGAAATTATCCCATCAACACCAACCTAGTGCCAATGCCGGCACACCAACCTAGAACTTAGCCACCCAGCGCCAACCTAGCATCCATCGGGTGGGTTTGGGGGGTTAGCGTTAGGGATTTTGGCCGGTTTCCTGCCCGTGCCAAAGCAGGGGTTCTGTTTTGTTTAGCAGTAACAAAATCGCCTCGGTTGTAATCTACTGGTTACTGGTTGAAGGGATAGAACCTTGAGTGTGGAACAGGGCGTAACAAGAGGCCTCTGACCACTTTGCACTTTTATTTTCCTCTAGGGATTGTTTTTGGTCTGTCAAGGTTGTGGGTGCATGGCGTTTTTGCCTCCCTGTGGGTGCATAAAATGTTTTGGCCGCATCCACGACTTTTTCAGGCTGAGTAATTTACGACGTCACTTTGAACAGATAACACTGACACTAAGACAGAACGTGCTCACTGTCAGCGCATGCACTCTATTATTTTCGTACATGCTCAGTATTTCCTTTCCGTTGATGCCAATCGTTTGAAACGAACCAAGATACGAAGTTTTTCCGCCGTGCGCGGACGCAAACACGCGTAACGGGAAGAGGCACGGATGTTGCATTACCTGGTGACAAGCGAATGACACCGTGGCAGAGCACCAGCAGCAGCGTAGAAATATGCATAGCATCGTGACAGATAGATGCATCAGGTTCACAACTTACCCGCCACACTCAATCGCCTCAAGCCTGCCGATTTTCTCGGGGAGTGAAAGCAAGCAGTGTACAATATTTCCCGCAGGTAGCACAGAAACAAGCCGGTGATGGAGGGCATCAATTTCACCAAGAGAGACTCAACAGCAGCAACAGTAGGCAGACGACTTTGCCTCAATTCACGTTTGTCTTCGAAGACAGTCAGTAGCGTGGCGGCGTAAGAAACCTGAACCGATCCCAGACATCCACCCTGAGAACGCACAGCAGGAGACCCTCACGCCCTCGAAGGTTTCTCTCGATGGTGGGTGCGCTCTCGGCTTGGAAAGTTGTGCGGTTTGAGCAGTTAGTTGGACTCACACAACAATAAACTTACCGTCAGGTTACACATGGCGCATGGATATACCCACGGCCCGCAGGTCGTATACGCTCGTCTCCTTCCCTGCTGTTTTTGATAGCCGGCCTCGGATCTGTAGGGGATAAACGTGCATAAGTCTCAGCGGTGTTTGTTGCTGATTGTTGTCTCTGTTTCTCTTGGCTTAAATTCGCACGTGGTCTCCGCTTTATGTTCCCCCTTTACCTCGATAACTCGTGGGGTAAGGGTGAGGTGTTTCCTTCGATTTGTTCGGGACAACTGCCTGTGTAGCACGGCCATCTCGAAGCACCGCGAAATCAGTGTGACGAAGAGTGCCCTATTTTTATTCCTCCTCCGAAGCCAGCATATCGCCAATCGGTGCTCTGAAGATCTTGCTCTGGTTGAAACGGATGGTAATTTCGGTCGCCCATGTAGTCGACTGTGGGCCCCTTCATCGCGTTGGAAGAGGCGGATATTTAAGGCCTGTTTTCCCTCTTGGGATGGAAGCAAACAATGGTTGCGGTTTCGCCAATCCTCGACTCATTGTAACAAGACTTACCCCCCTAGTTTTGCTGGGCTACAAGTGTAGAGGCCTTCGTTTCTCATAAGCAGCGCCTCACGATATGTAGCTGTAGGGGCACCCAGATGTCGTGTTTGGTCGAGGCCCCGGTATGACACACTGAAGACTGTTCGCGCACAACTCTAACAGGACACAAGACAGGGCCCAAAACTGTAGCGTTGTGGCTCCGCGATGCCATATCTTCCTACTACAGCAGTTAATAGTGAGCTCTGCACACTTTATATCGCAAACGTAGGTATGTTTGGTGAGGGCGAGTATCAAACGCAGCTCACCCGCAATTTCAACGGTGGGCAATCCTAACGGTGGGCTGTCCGATGCAGCTTACCCGTTGCATATCTACGTACCAGATTGTAGCTCATCCGTATTCCGCCAGCCCATCCGCGCACAATGGGCGTTTGTCGCAATTCCCCCCCCCGCTACAGGTGGTAGTTTCGTTTTTTGGCAGCGGAAGTGATTGTAATTCCGGCTCTTGCAGCCAATTGCAGGCAGCGTATGGCGAGTTGCGGGGGGGGGGTATGGTCCACCCCTTGCATGCCACGCCTCGTTTCCGTCCATCCCAAACATGATGTCCCAGAAGTGCTGCTCTAGTTTCGATCTGACTGTTATTTCGACCACCCACGCGGTTCCACTTTCATGCGTTTGGTGTTTTGTCCTACAACGGCAGGGCCCCATCAAGCTCCATGACTATCTCGGGTCCTCCTGGGGGCTGCTTTGCTCGCACCCGGCCGACTTCACGCCGGTGTGCACCACCGAACTTGGGACATGCGCGAAGCTGAACGTGGAAGGTTGGTGTCTACTGCTACGAAAGTTGTGCTCTGTGGCCCTTGAATATGTACCACACGTGTGCGGGCCGAGCTTCTGCCGTTTCCGTGCATCTCGTGTCATTTTTGGTGGCACTATGATCTCGCCGGTTCATGCGTTCTTCCGTGTTTTTTGGGGGTATGGGTTCACGTTATTCTCTCGCCGGTGCAACCGATGTCGTCCGTTGTCCAAAGTTGATCTGCTCTTCTCGACTGCCTCGTGCCCTTTTACAGTGCAGAGAAGATTGACCTCGGTCTTGCAACGTTCGAGCAAGGGCCGCACGAAACCGTCAGCTCATACGCCCTCCGTTTCCAAAACGAATTTACTCGTTTCGAAGACTACCATCAAGTGCCTGTACATGTCTGATAAATCGGGGTGAAATCCATTCGTGAAGCTGTCGATGGCGCTCGCCGCAATGGGACAGCAAATCCTCGCGGGCGGCAACCCCACTGTCAGCGCCACGCCGTCCACACATGTCTCCAACCGCGCCGCTGTTGCCCAACAGTTTCCTCCTGTAGCGTAGCTCAACCGCAGTTGCTGCGTTTTTCCTGAGTTTTTTTTTTTTTCCCCGTTTCTTATGTTTCAGGCGGTGAGTTCCCGAAGCGGGATGTGAAGATGTTGGCCATCTCGTGTGATCCGTTGGAGTCGCACCAGGGCTGGATCGGCGACATCAAGGCACACACCGGCCACGAGGTCAATTTCCCGCTGATTGCGGATGCCGACCGCAGGTACTAGAAAGAAGAAGAGAAGCACGCTTGCGTATCATATGGTCACGTACCCCCCGCCCCCCACCGTGCTGCAGTGTAGGGCGAACGCTAGAAAAGCACTAAGAAGAATTGTTATCAGGAGAGTACGTATGGAAAACCGGTGAGAGGGAGACACAGAATGCGATGGATCACCGGAAAGGCGATAGTATGGAAGGAGATGGGGGGAGACTATAGAGACATACCTCTCTTCTCAGCGACAACCTCGTTGTTACGTTTGTGCGTGGGGTCCTTCCTCCGGGGTTATAGTGCACATGAGAGTCTTTTTGATGTCGGTCGGTATTTTCGATGACGGCAATGCGCTTCGTGAAGTGCTGCGTTATCAACTGTTCAACTAGTTGGGTGGTCCCTTGTTCATGATTTGCCTCGGTGGCATTGCATTCGCTCTTGAGCCTTCACCACAACGATACGAGCGTTTTCCACCAAACGGCTGTGGTGACGCATGGGTGCAACAGTTGTCGATGTGTTTCTCTCTCAACCTGCCACCCTCGAAATATGTGTAGCATCGCGGCTTCCCTGGGCATGCTGCACCCGGACCACATGAGCGCGGAGGGCCTCCCGATGACGGTTCGCACCGTGTACGTCATCAGCCCCGAGAAGATCCTCAAGCTCGCGCTCACTTACCCGGCTTCCACCGGCAGGAACTTCGACGAGGTTTGTTTTGTCGCGACACCATAGCTTTTGTTCTTGAGAGAGGGCTTAACTATGATACAGCAGGTCTGGCGTGGTTGCTAGAGGGGTAGAGGCACCCATGTAGTCCGGTGGCATTGATTGGTGGTGTAGGTAGCTTTTGCGACGAAAAGTTTTCCTGGGTGCGTTAGAACTTGTTTTTTGTCTTCTGACCGACTACTCGGTCCCAGAGAGATATGACTAATATATAGTAAAATCAGTTATAGCAGCAGCCGGAGCGCAACTCTGTGACAACATTTTTGAACGCGCTTCGATTCGCGGTTAGATTGAGAGCTATACGTAGAGACGTGGAGATGTAATCTATGCTGTCGTCCCTCTTATGTTGTCGTCCCTCTTTAGCGTGGGGAGATAGACTGATTTTCCTCCCAGAACTGCTGCAGCAACAGGTATCTCACACCACTGGGAGATGAAAAACACGCACCCGTCTGACAGCAGTCAGTCCTCCTCCTTCAACGTCGCCAACCTCGGTGCACCTCTGTACATAGATCATTCGGGCGATCGACTCCCTACAGCTCACGGCCACCCGCAGCCTGGCCACCCCAGCCGACTGGCAGAAGGGCGGCAGTTGCATGGTTCTGCCCACGGTCAGCCCCGAAGATGCGGCTGAAAAGTTCCCCGAGGTATGCGTACACTGTACTTCGATTTTGTCTTTTGTACAAGATTAAAAAAATCAGCACTTTTTGAGGCTGCCATGAGTGGATCACGCCACATGTGCAGTATGATGCCATCACCACTATGGTCATCCACCCAGACAACTATTAACAGTAGGGCCAAGCAAGTAACATTCACTCTCCGTCATGCGCAGATGAACAGAAGTTCCGTGCCAGATGCCATGCAGCTTGAGAGAAATTTCGCCAGCGGTTTAGGGTTCATCTTGCGTCTGGATATTAGCGCCGCGTATTTACCCCCTCCCGCCTCCCCCCCCTCGTGATTCCGCGTGTTTCTCTCCAGCACAAGACGATGGAAGTGCCCTCGGGCAAAGGGTACCTGAGGGTTACCCCCACGTCGTGATGGGTTAATCCAGTCCACAAGATCATGCGCTGCGCTGAAAAAGCAACCAACGAGTTCACGGTTGCTCATCTTGGCTCTTTGGGATGCGAAGTTCTTCATATGGTGTACGTTAGACCGTTGCTCCTAACTTGTGTTCGTGTGCAACTCTGACGCTTCTGTGTAAACAATGGGAGCCGTCGCTGGGAGGAAGGCTGGACTATTGGCATAGATTATGATCTGAGATGGTTGTTTTAGATGTTCAGTATGAGGCGTGTAAGGTTCCACTAGATATGCCCAGAACACGATCGTATGCTAGCACACGGCAGTAGTATATATATTCCTTCTGATTTTGGTGGAAACGAAATCCGTATTATTTGTTGCCCACCCTGTTGTAGACCATGTGCCACAAGGCTATGAAACCTTCGGGGCGCGGCTTTGTAGAACTTGACCTCACTGTTTTATATTTTCCCCTTTCCTCCGTCCTCGGGGGGGGGATGGGAGTTGTTTTTGGAGGAAGGTGAGAACCAACCCCAGAAGGATCACGAGGTATTCTTCGTTGTTGTAATATCTTGGTGGACCTCCTCTTTCGTGGCTTACCCCAAACCCTAAACCAGGAACAACAAGCCGTGCGTATGCGTAGTAAACACTTTCATCTAAATATGTAACAGGTGGTGCGTGCTTGCTTGACAACTTAAATGATTGCCTTTGCAAAACAGAAAAGGTGGCGCGAAGATGACACCATGACGGATAAGACAAAAGATGAATGGGTGCGTGCGCCAAGAGTATACGCATTCACGTCGCGTCCTTCTTGTCCTTCAGCAGTAGACTATGTACTTCGTATTTCGGACATGCTATACCGCACCCGTTCTTCCTCGCTCCGGGCGCGTCAGGCCATGAATCTGAATGCCCCGCGCGCATGAATGCACTCTCTACACGTGGATCTAAGAGGGCCGGTTGATCAAGTTGTCTACAGCAGTATGTGTAGGTGAGGTATTAACTGCTGCCCATACAAAGTCTACATTTGGCCAACCAGTTAACACGGTCGATGCTTTGGATCTACGACCACACCACCAGCAGTAGTTAGAGGTGCACGCGCTGCGGAGTGCACCCATTCAATGCACACCCGGCGCTACAGTAGGAGCTCTGGGCGGGTTCCGCGGTAAAGACGAGTTGTCTCTCCCGCGGCGAGGAAAAACTCAAATGAAAAACCGTTTTTTTATTTAAAAGCGTAAAAAAAGGACAAGAACAAAAAAATTGTGATCGGATCACCTTGATTTTTTTCACCGCATTGCCGATTTCGGCGCCTCCATGTCTCCTCGGCAGTCAATTCCGCTTGGCCGATTTAAGGGGGGTAGAGCCACTCAGAAAGTTGATCAGACAAACACTCGACGTGGGAACCGAGAATCCAAAATCCCGGGAATTTTGAAATTGCTCAGCTACGGCCAGCTTTTTGAGCAGCTGAAAGTCCATTGCAAAGCAAAACTGGGGCATTCCGATAATCAATTATATATTGGTGATCCCCACCCCAAAATAACCCTAATTCAAAGTCAGGAGAGATCAAATCAACATACATGTGGATAGTGTTGCGGGAGGGGGGATATTTCAGTGTAATTCCCATAGTGATTCCAGGTTTTAGCCCTGCTTTTGCGCATAATATATCAGTGCGTAGCTGTATCACGGCCGCATCGATCCTGATCAAAATTCTGACGACGGATTCTTGATCTACACCACAACAACATTACCCCAGCCTGAGATTTTTATACGATTCGGAGTCGTTTGAATTTTGTTCGGGGGGCCCGCAGACGCGATTTTCGCCCAATTACCCACTCATTAATCAATAACTCATCACCACGACATCCAAATGGGAAAGGAAGTATATTTTCGTGATCCTCGTGACCTAACGGATGTTGGTACCAAATTTCAGAGGTTGAGACCCATTTCTTGCTGCCCATCGAAAAATTCGTGAAAACCATTCGTCTTTATAGCCCGGAACCCGCCTCTGGCACGGTGTGGGAACAGCAGCAGACAGACAGACAGAGCGGTTCAGTCGTGTTTTCCGGCACGCCTGCACACAAAACGTTGGTGGTATGATTCTCTATCGTAGCCTCCTCCTGTAGGTTCAATGCAGGGACGTTCCATAAATAATAACGAACGCTGAATTCGGCGCAGAATATTTTGGTCTTTCATGACGTCCTTGTTTTTCGTTTTGTTTTGCTGCAGTTGTGCATGCTTGACGAACTCATGGAAACCCAACCCAATACCGCCCATTGATACCCGACCCCCCCCCCCCCCCCTTAACAACGCTCTTCTTGTGTTGCCACACAGCCACCACGCCGCCACACACACACTCCCGCCCTTTCTCCATGATGCCTACCCCACCGAAATGGTCTCGAGGCCCATTGAACGAACTCCACCAGGCCGCAATTCGTGGTTCTGCCGAGCGTATCAATTCCCTGCTAACCAGGGGCGTCATAAACATCAACCAAGGCGATCCGGCGGGCCGGACTCCCCTCATGTGCGCCGCCCAAAAGGGCTGCCCGCGCGTTGTCGGCATCCTGCTGAACAAGGGAGCCAACATGTCGATAGCGTGTGACATGGGATTTACTGCCTTGCTCATTTCCGCTCAAATTGGCCACGTGGCGGTGACTACAAGATTGCTGACAGCCGGTGCCGACCTCGAACAAGCCGACAACCAAGGCTTCAGAGTGCTACATATGGCTAGCTCAAACGGGCACTCCGAGGTGATGAAGATACTGATGAATGCGGGCGCGAACGTTGACTGCCGCTGGTTCGGTGGAGAGACACCGCTATACCTGGCGGCGTCGAAGGGACACGTGGGCGCGATGCGGCTGCTCGTTGTTGCGAAAGCGAACCCGTTGTTTGCTGTAGGACAGTGCAACTCAGCTCCCGTTGGATATAGCGGCAATAGGAGGGCAGTCAGACGCGGTGCACCAGCTGATACAGCAGCTAGGGATCGAAGTCTGTACCCCGAGACAAAAGAAACAACGGATAGCTGAGGAAGCGTGTCCAATAAGAAACCTCCCATAGTGCAGCCAGCTCCCACCACTATATAATAATTTGTTGGTAGGGGGGGAGAGTGGTTATTTCGGGTCGCCCCCCGGCCCCCCGCGCCGCCGCGGGCTGCGGTACCCACTGCTGTTGTACTGCTGTACTGCCACAAATCACGGGAGTCAGGAAGTTCAGGAGAGGGTGACAATCCCAATCAATGTTCGCCACCACGGAGCTGTCGATTAAAAATTCTGCGTGAAAAGAAAGAAAGGCTTTCGCTGTGTTGTTGGTTTCTTCGCCAGAAACAAACTATAACAGCAGCAGCAGGATGATGCGACAGCCCCAAGAAATTAAGAAATCGGTTTGAAGAAATTGGCCCACTTGGGCCGGTCCTTCGGGCGAAAATAAGAAGCTGAGGCTCGACCCGATTTTCACGTTTCTTATCTCCGGGCCCGTTCTTCTGTGTGTAGCTGGCTTGTTGTGTGCTTCTCCTGCTCTTCCCTGGAAATCGTTCTTTGCTCTTCTCTCCGCCGCCCCCTTCACGGAATCGATAACAAACCGCACGACGAACGCTTTCTGACGGGTGTTCAACATGGTTGGAGTTATTGTCGATTACAGCAGTGTAGTAGTCGACTGCTGCTGCTGTGTACTACTACCGCCGTGCCAAATTGATCATGTGATCATGTCGCCTGGCCACCGGGTCTCTGCTGTAGCCACGAGGTATAGCTTTGTGGGGCGATGACAGCACGTCTATGTACCACCTTGCAGACAGCAAACACTCGGGGTTGGGGAGCACGGGGAGCCAAACAACAGCATCCACACGCTACCAGGGGCACAACGTCACGACGCTGTGCAGCAGGGTGGAGTCCCGGCCACCGGCCACCGGCCACCGGCCACAAACGCACAAGAAAAGAGAAAAAAATGTGGTTCTCCTCCAAACCGTCGTGGTTCTCCGCCCGAACCCCGAGTGCAATCTCCCCGCCCCCCACCCAGCTGCCCAGCTGCCCCCACCTCACCCCGGACGCAACTCGCCGCATCATCGTCTTTCATCCTTTGCACTCTTCCTTGGTCTCGCCTATTTATGTGTCGTTACATCGAGTGCTTGGACATACCTACCTCGTTTCAAGTGGCACACTAGTCGGAGGTACTTCCACTCAGGGCAATCCCTCTGTCGTAGGTAACCTTTTCGCATCACTGATGCTGCTGTGATCGGAGCTGTTCGGAAGCTACATCAGTCCCGCCGCTGTTGTTCTGCTGGAATGGAGAACGGCGACTCACCTGCAGCGGAAGAGGGGAGCGGCAGAGGTGTAGTCTCTTGCTTCTTCGAAGCCTCCCTACTGCTGGCGTCCTTCGCTGTGTTCTACAAGTTCGCATGGTGAGAGAGAGCGCTGGAGGTGTGCAGCACCGAACGAGTCGAAGCACTTGTTCGCGGAGATCCCGAGCTTCCTGTGCACGTCAAGCAGGACAGGATATGCCCAATGAACAGTATATCCAGTTCGCTTCCAGCGTGCACATCGTCGCAGCAGCAGCAGCAGCATAGTCGTAGCACGACAGCTTCATCGCTTTACCAAGACAACCACACAGAATAGCCAATCAATCAGTAGGCCACTACACCGGAGACCGTGCAACTTGGACCACCCCCCCTTTCATCGCCCCCCATCCTTCCCCCCAGGTTGTACTACCGCGAAAGGCTGTTCCCTCACCACAGTTTCGCCACAGTCGCAACCACCACTACCGCCCACTCTTCCTGTGGGGATGTGCTCTCGCTCAAGGCGGCCGGACGAGCTTTCTCTCTTACTTTTGCGCTCTCTTGCTGCATATTCGAGGTCAGTGAGCTATCGACATGGCTGTCCGCGTCATTCCAATGCAATACCATCCCATCCCATACATCTCGTTGCACTAAATAGTGTTCAAAATTGTAAATTATACCGGGCATGTGGTGGGTCCTTGGTGAGCATGTCCCCTCGACCAGGGTTTCTCGTGCACACCCTTGCTTGCTGAGTCAGCAGAAGAACACAATGTTACAAGGGTGTGTTCGGTAAGGTACGGCTACGCTCGGTAAGGTGTTGAGATCTTACCGAAGCGTACCGAGATTTTTGGTAAGGTATTGAAATCTTACCGAAGCGTACCAAGAATTTCGGTAAGATATTGGAGTCTTACCGAAGCGTACCGAGATTTCGGTAAGGTATTGAAATATTACCGAAGCGAGATTTTCGGTAGGTATTGAAATATTACCGGAGCGTACCGAGATTTTCGGTAGGTATTGAAGTATTTTGTGTTCTGGGTGAAGTATTTTGTGTTCTGCATCTGTGGACGCTGCAGCTGCACAGCAGCAGCGTTGCACAGCCGCCAAGCAGCGCCCCACAGCAGTCGTATCGGTTGCGGGCCGTCACGGCACGTGCCGAAATGGCTGACGACGCACACGCACAGCAGCAGCAGCAGCAGCAGCAGCCACACGAGCAGAGTCAACCCGCAGGCGATCCGTGCACGCTTGGTCCTGAAGATGTGCACAGCATCTGGGCGTTGCGTATCGGCTGCCTCCTCCACGTTCTCCACATTGCGATAAACGCCGGCATGGAGTCTGAGATATTCATGGGGCCGATGGGCCAAGGGTCGTGGCACGGGTGGGAGCAGCAGCATCTGGTTGCCTTGCTCGGGATGGTTTGGTACAACCTCTCTTGTTCAGAATCATCGAACACGAATTGGGCGCAATTCGTGTCGCGTCGATGGTAGAGAGTAAAACCGGCATCCGATGGACAAGAAAGTTCATCAGACCAGCGGAGACAAGATGGATGGTGGTCTGGGAAGAAGCTGACCTCCTGGATGAGCGCTGGCCAGCAGTCAAATGGCTGTTTACCAGTGGGCGCCACACCATCTTCTCAGCACGCCTTTTTTGAGCTACTGGCACAAATCCATGGTCATGTGGAAAAACACCCGAATTCAGCTGCACGCCAAGTTTGCGGTGGAGCTAGGCAAGAAGGTCCTCTTCTGGGCGTACCACTGGCTTCGCGAAGGGGGGATTCTGTCTTCAGCACGAGGGTAGGGAACCAGAGAGGCTGGCTCCTGCGATGTGCTTTGTCGAGGTCGCCGATTTCATCCTCGAATTCGAGCGGCGACTGGTGGTTTTGACATCGGATCTGAAAAATATTTCCCGGAGCTGATAGAATGGGCCGAGAGCAACGTGCGCGAGGACTTGGTGAGTTTGGATCAGTGCGTGTAGTGGTGTGCGTGTAGCTTTGTTGAAGGTAAGAGGGAGGAGCAAGGGTGGCTCATAGCATGGACGTGCATCCAGCTGCTTGTGGCCATTGCCTGCTGCCCGTTGTCTCTTGTTGCTGGTTCGGACATGTTTTTCGATCCTTTTTTCCGAGCTTTCTTGGGTCTCGCATAATTTTCTCTGGACAACAACTCAAAGAATCATGCTCTACTTCATGTCGTCCTCTGCTCTCCCCCTCCCAAACATGTGGCCACCTAGACTTTGCTATACGCTCACACCTCCACGTCCCTCGTCTGCCACATCTATGCCTTGTTCTGGTGGCTCCTGCTCGCTCAGTCGGAACAATTCATGCTGAATTTCGACGAGAGCTGCAGCAGCGGATTCTTTGGAGTGACTCTTGATCGGTGGCCGAAATGGACGGAACGACACCAGCACTTGCAGCTCAGCATGGCAAGGTTGCCTTGCTACTACTTCTTTGTGGGAAAGTGGGCCAGGTCAGAAGGAAAGGCTTGGGAATTGCCTATAGGGCAGGCGTGTGCTAGGGCTTTGCTGCTGGCGCTTTGGCCGGGGCAGTACGAGACGGAGGAATGGGCAGGATGGGAGGAGCCCCATCATTTTCGCGAGATCCTGGAAAGTGATCTGGCGGAAGCTTGCACGACAAGACAGAAAGATGGGCTCACTCTAGGTTTGTACTCTAAGGTTGAGGGGGATGGGCTTTTAGGTAAGATCTAGAGAAGTACGCGACATCCGCTCGTGGTAACGTAAAGATTGTGCAGCAGATGGACGAGAAAAGCGCAACATGCTCATCTACGTTTCAGCCTATTTCGGAGTTTCCTTTGCTGTACAAATGGTCTTGCTGGCTGTTTTTTTTTCTTTCGATTCCCCAACAACTCGTAGAGAGTCTCTTTTCGCTGTACGACAAGCGCAGCCAGCAGTTTGACCTAAGGGAGATGGATGTTGTACACATCGGGCAGTACCGCTCGGCAGGATCTAGAGCAATCGGGAGGGCTGTAGCAAGTGGAAAGGAGATTCGCGCAGCAGGTCGAATAGCAATCGGTCGCGTGCGCACCGCCACGAAAGAGGCGCACGCATCGACTCCCAGAGAGAGAGAGAGAGATCAACGCAAGTGCGACCACGACTACAAGGCTTACATAGAGAAGGTTAGGCTGCAAAGACACGGTATAGTACTACTCTGAGGAGTCAGGGAGTGCAGAGTCCGAGCCAGAGAGTAGCTCAGGCAGCGACGCTGCATGATAGCTCAGGAAACGATGATGCATGATGTTGTGCAGCAGATGGATGATGGATGATGGACGAGTTTGAGAAGAAATACTTGCGCTGACAACATCGAATTTGCGGATCGTTTCCGTTTTTTTCATGACTGCTCGTGGTTGTGATTTGCAAGTCACACCACATAGACGGCCGACGAAAGCGCTCTGTCCGTACATACCTACGAAGGCAGCACTACAATCGTAGTATTTAGTGCGCGTGATGGGGCATCATCCCCCCGGCCTTCGCTTTGTGAAAAGACAGCAACTACACTCTGCAAATCTGCAGTCTGCAGAAAATAAATGCTGAAAAATGATGTACGTAACACACGGACATGATGTCGAAAGACCACAAGAGCCTCTCTTAGATTTTTCATTTTTTCTAGTCCTTGCATAAACACCAGCAAGACCAACACCGTCGCGTGATACTTCGTTCACACAGCAGCAGTGCACGACGACGGCGTTCACCATTGTCTATAGCATCGTTTTCCCAGTGATAGCCTGAGCGACAGCAGCAATTACGTAAAAAAACTACAACTGACAAAAAGAAAACCTACGAAAAAAACAAAACGGCGAAACATCACCACCTGCTACACAAAAATCAACCCCTTCCACGACCCCTTCCCCGCCCAGCACCTCGCCCAGCGCCCCTTGCTGCCCCACGCGCCCTAGCACCCCTTGTTGCCCCACGCCGACGTCCAGTCGCCGCTGCCTCGGGCTGCACATTGCACCTTTCTGCCTCGTCCTTGTTGAACATGTCCTGGAGCAGCTTCACACACCCACCCCTCTCTCCGGACACAGACGCGGTGTTGTCCGACAGAACATACATGACTTGATGGGGCGGGTAGCCAAGCACGTTTACGATCGTGTCGTAGAACAGGTCCGCTTGGGCTTCTAGCTGTCTTGTCCTTCATGCTGCAGATCCGGAGCAGCCCCCACCAAGGCGCCTGAACTTCGGCATCCCAAAAAGCAACGAAGATGGGGAACTTCTTGTCTCCTTTCCGCAACGATTAATCGCCGGCGATCAAAAGGTGCGGAGCTGCCAAAATGACTCTGATGAGCTCAGCTTTATCGAGATGTAAAATACCGAGCGCACGTGCCTCTTCGCCGTGGTTCCGGTGAACTTGGTCTTGCCATCTAGCTCGATTCCATAGGCCGTCTTGACCGTCCCTATGATCAGGGGCGCCACCTGGACCAGCGGAGTGCCGGCTTGAATCATTTTTTCCACCAATCGAGCCGACGCGAGGCCGTATTTTCGCCTTCCGAGTTTGTTCTTCTGCTCTCCTTCTTTGGTCTCTGCCCCCGGCTCGCCTTTCTCCTTGCTCTCCTGCTCACTTTCTTCGGGTACTTGTCGCGGCCGTAGGTTATCCTTGACCCCCTCCTCTACGATCTGCTGCAACTCAGCTGGATCGAACGGCTTGCGGGTGCTCTCGACGACGGCGAGGGATTGCCGTAGTTGCTTCACCGATGTGTTGAGAGCGTTAATTCGGAAGTTTTGGCGCGTGGTCTGCACGATTCGGGAGGGTGAAATACATGTACATCGATGAGTTGTGAGCAAGAGCAAAAGAACGTTTCCTCGTAGGCAACAGATCGACATCTGCTGCTTTCTGCTATTGTTGTTGGCACAATCATTGTTGCGCTGCTGTCGTGATCAAATTGATAACTCGAGAAGCAGCGGTGCACACCAAGAGAGGAAACAAAGCAAAACGAAAAAGGAAGAAAAAAGCCGGTGGGCCCCTGAAAAAACAACGAGGAAAAATAAATCGTTCACCTTTTTGGTCGGAGCCTCGTTGGCCTTCTTCATCTGATCTCCCCAGGAAACCGTTGCTGCTAGCTCGTCTTCCGCCTGCCTTGCTAGCATCTTTGCGTGGATAAACCGCTCTCGTGCCGTCAATCCAGACTCCCTCTGCTGCTGCTGCTGCTGCTGCTGCTGCTGTGCCGGCGCGAGGTGTTTAGCTCCCGGGCAAAAAATCTCGAAGATCTCATCGCGCTCTTTCTCTGCCTCGTGTTTCTTGAGCTTAACTTCCCGCAGCTGCTGCTCCACTTCCGCCACAACTTCCTCTTGGCCGACCTTCTCCTCCGCCCGCTGCGCATGTACCGTGCGCAAGTGCCCCGCCGCTGTCACTCTGCCCCTCTGCTCGATGACAAGCTCTGCCGCAAGCTCACGTCTCCGTTCAACCTCGCGCTCCAGCAACCTTTGTTTTTTCTTCGCGTCGTCCTGAACCAACTTGTGTTTCGCGGCAGCCTTGCGCTTCGCCGCGGCTTCCTTTTTCGACTTCTTAACGTGGGTTGTGCACTCTAGCCTCAAGGATTTTTAGTCCTTCTCCTCGAAAGCCTTGTTGCGGCGAGCGTACAACGCTGCATCCAGAATCGTGTCTCCGGTGCGCTCAAGAAAGGATTCTTGCTTTTTTGTATAATTGGGTTGTCTCTTCTTTGCCGTCCATGCTTTTTTGTTTTCTCCTGTACTGCCCTTGCCCATCAAAGATCCTAAACGGGAGTACCTGCTCCTCGACGGCAACGCCTTGGATCGGGGCGCGGTTTTTTGCGTCATGGGCGCAGAAACCAAAGCTAGAAATCGCCAGGAGCAGAGTTTTGGGTTCAAGCGAGAAAAATATAGCATCGGCGAAAAGTACTCTAAAAAACATATGTTTGCGGCAACCAAAGTGCGGAGCGAAAATCTGATCTGGTGTTTCCTTGTGTATGTTCTACAGACAAGTGTCACTCAATATGAAGAGTCAACTCTCCACCTAGAGCCAGGAATACGTTCTCCCAGATGCTTGTCTTTATTCAAGTCAATATCAAATCGGCCACCGAGGTTGTGAAAAAAACAACAACAAATGTTTTGGTGGTCGTTCCGCTATTTTTTTTTGTCGTTACGGCGTAATCTCGAGGTCTAACAGTTTCTTTTTGGGGAACACCTTCTACCTGTCATGTACCGGTCGTGTTTCCACTGTATGCCGGTCAGTTGATGGCGTTGTTTGGTGCCTCGGCAGGTCGATGAATCCTTGCAGCCCTTTTCTAGTTCGAGTGTTTTGTTTTGCCCCTCCCGGTATTCACCCCTATCACTGTGATCAACCATTATCAGGGGGCACGATTGCCACGTGGCGTCTGTGTGTCCCTTTCACACCCGTCGGGTCTCTTTCACCCTTTGGCCCACTCTAAAATGTTTGGTTCATATCGTTTTTTTGCGGCCCATTCCTGGTGTTTTCCAGCTCATCATCTTAGAGATCGCGGGATGGCTTAACCCAGCCTCGAGCCCGCTAGCCTGGAGAGCATGTCTGAGTCTCATGGTTCTTGGCCTACACGTGGTATTGCCCTTCCTGTTGGCCTTCGCTTGCCTGGGAGAGGTGGGGCTCGGCCGGTGAGCTAAACAAATCCATCGTTGGAGCGTAATGTTGTCGTTGCTGTTCTTGATACTTGTAGTGCGAATATTCTTGGGGATGATGGTGATCGTGCGGTGGTGGTGGTTCCCATACCGTAACGCTACATACCTCTGGTTGCTCGTTATGTTTGGTGGTCGAGGCAGACGTAGGCGTGATCGCAAACTCACGAATTTGTTGGCTGCTCCTGACCCTTCTGGCTCCCCCACCCCCCCCGCATCAGACGGCCCGCCTGCGTGGGCGCCCTGATACTGCTCTCGGGGATCCTATTCGTGGCGTCAGGCCTCGGACAACTGGAAATACCATCATCGTCAATAGCAGAAGCAGCAGCACAAGCGGGGCGGCCACCGGTGTTTTCCCTTGAGGTGGCGGCTTGCTTGTGTTCCGTTTGCTCGATATAACCCAATCGCGTCTTGGACACACCTACTCTGTGAAATTGTCAACATATTGTATGCATGTTTTGCGCCCGTGAGGTGGGGCATCGCTTTTCGGGGGGTTCCTTTCTTCTAACGTGAAGTCCACGGAAGCAATTGCGTTGTCGTATCTGGCCCACTGCGCTACGCGCGTCATTTATTCCCCTCCCGCCAGCCTTGTGCATGGTCTTCATCGACTTTTCTCGCCCACTCACACTCGCTGGCTTACCTGTTCCGCTAAGATGATCTTGTCTGTGTTTAACAACCTTCGTCTGCTTTGAACGCGACCTCTCGCTGACCTCCAACGCTTGCTCTTAACCTGATACAACGTAGGTTTCAATGAACGCCACACTCACGGACTCTTTTCTAGCCGAAGCAGCAGTCTCAACACCCACCCCCTCACCAAGTGACGACCGGCTTTCCTCTCACGAAACGGAACGTGGTATGTATGTGCATCCCAGGCTGGCCTGGCGAGGGTGGGGGTAGTGGGAGTGGCATCGCTTGCCCTTCTCAGCGGCTTCGGCGCTGTCAATCTCCCATATCAGCAGCTGGCGACGCTCCTGCGTACAGTGCCCCACAGGTCGGTTGCATTGCGCGAGTAGATCGCCAGGTCTCGCGGCATATGTGGAGGGTCGAATGCTCAGCTAGGGTTCTCTGCGGCGTTGTGACTCTAGCTTTCCAAAATTCCGCACATGTAACCTGCGACGATGGCGCGTTGATTCCATCGCCGTAGTCTCGTCTTCTTTGTTGTTCTTCGTCCTCCTCACAATGCACAGAAGAGGGGGTTGCACGCAGAGGCGGGGTTTGTTTAGGACTTGCAGGGTTTAGAACCACCACAGCCTACTCTTGTAGCTTAGCTTGGGGCGTTTTCGTTTTTGTTTTGCGCTCGCTGTCTTCCTTTGGTCTTTTTGAGTCTCAGGAAGCCATTCTTCGCGCGCGTTTCTATCACTGTCTTGAGCTGAAGGGGCATTTTTGATTGGTGGGGGGGGCGGGGGCGTCTGTGGCGCTCTTGTAGACCACGGGACAGTAAACTCACCTGTTGCACGCGTTAGACAACACCGCGCGAGGCTCCGCGTTCATGCCTCAACCCTGCCCTAAAATTGACAGTGTCGTCAAGTCGCGGGAGAGGAGAGCACGCCTCACGCTCAAGGACATCGGGCAACGGAAACGCCGAGCAGCGATAGCCTCTTCCTCTTACGCCGTGCGAGGCGGAAACGGGGCAGGAGCCACTCCCGGCGGCAACGGTTTCGGTTACGGGGGATCAGCGGCAGCAGCGAGGGCGGTAGACTCATCATCGCAACGCGGTGGTCTGTTCTCCAGGGTGATTCGGGCGTTAACGGTAGTGGTTCCCGGGTTTTCTTCTACTTCCTCGGGGAACGCGGCCTTTTTCTCGTCTGCTGCACAGGCTGCGGCGGAGGTCAGTTTGGTGGATACCCAGACGGTGCTGGCGAGGAGTTGGGCGGGCGGGCGTATTCATGTGTTCGTTTGTTCACCACGCCAATTTCGCTGCTGCTCGAAGCCTGTCTCTAGCTCTTGCCTATAGAGACAAACGAAGCCTGTGGTTCTCTCTGTCCCTTCTCTCGCGGACAGGCGCGACGGATTTCTTTTTCGTGCCGGAAACTCAATGTTTGTTCGTTCCTGGTCTCTAAGAGTGGCGCCTGTCAGCATCACCAACGTTTCTTCCTGTACTTGTACACCTATTCGTGACGACCATCTTGTTTTTTTTATCATGTCGCTTCACCTTTTCGTGGTGTTTGGTTCGGGTGGCAGGCCCAGGCGACGGCAAGCCTGGAGAAGATAGCCCGGGACCTGTTCCTGGAGATCTCCGACTGCCGCCGAGTGAGATGCAGGGCGCGTGGGGGAGGGAGCAGTGGGGGGGGGGAGAGCTCACACAAAAAGTTGTTTTGGATCGAGACATGTTGTTGGTGTGTCGGCTTCCTCGTTTCGGCTCACCGAAGTCAGAGAACGAAAACCTCCCCCATGAGACAAGCCACCCCGTCAATGCCAGAAGGTTGTAGACGAACCAGCATGTACATGTACACCCTGACAGGCGAACTGTTAGGCTCCAGATAGCCGTTCCGCGCGATATTGCCATACGTTGTTGCTTTTTTTTCACAGGTGACTTTAGTTTTGTATCCTATCGCCTCCATCTCCTCGCACGCGAGTTAGAGCAGCACGCTCGCTCTCGCATGCAAGAAATCATGCTTGGCGTGCAGAGGCATAAACGGCTATCCCGCGACGAAAAGCCAGGTGCATGTCTGGTTTGCTTGTACCGGTCTACAGGACTGTACCACTCTCTCTTCCGCCTGCGTATCAATGTATGGATCGGCGTGACTCTCTTGTTTGTCGCCGTTTGTTTCCGTCCTGACTGCATCTTTTTTTGGGTCTCGTTCTCGGTGCATGGCGTCTTGTTGACGTTGGTCTCGTCCGTCTTTTGTGCAGATCCAGGATCAACAGCGACGGGCAAGGACCCTGCCTGGACGCATCCTCGTAGTCTTTGGGTGAGATCAGGTGCATTCTGCGCACCACAGGCGCCATGTACTTGTCCAAGTGTGACCCTTCCTCTTTTCTATCTTCCCATCGTGGAACTGCCTAAATCACTTGTGTCTTGCCTTCTCTTTCGGAGGAGCTCCAATGCGTGTTCACACAAGCATTTCCTCGGCGCCATATGCCATGTTTTTATCACGAGAGGGCTTCAGCAACCCCCTTATCTCCATCAACAATCCATCAACAATCATGTCCAACGCTGGTACGAACAAGCGGTTGCTCAACATGTTTCACACACCGGGATTCGAACCCAGGACCCTTGATGTACAGAATATTTCGAGGACATGGATCTGCCACGGAACTACCCTTTGGAATCAGTCAAAACCGGACTCTGTATTTCGTTCTTTTGGATCGTTTCCGTATCTTCGACGGATTTATTCGGGAGTAACGGGAAGAGGATCACAGCAGAACGGATAGGATCGCCTGACGTATGCACACCATTAGGCCGCTTTTCAAGGGCGAGGGTTTTGGAACGCCGTAAATGATGCCCTTCGACTTGGACAAAATGGATTCGATTCATTTCCGACTGCATAAGAAACTATTTTTTGGTCCGAGCCGAAAATTCCACACTTTTGACTTCGGCAAAAGACTGCTTATGAAACGGCCATACAATTGAGATCAATCAATTCGCGCTTTGTTGTTGAGACGTTGGAAGTAAAACAATTGTCGAGTCCCACGGATAATGAGAAGGTGACGCACTGCGATGTGGGCAATTGGGCTTCTGTAAACCTCTTACTCTAGATAACGTTTGCGGAATGCCCACTTAACCACAGCAATGGTGCGTAGTGCGCACGGCTATGTAGTACTGGCCTCTCGCGGCGCTCTCCTGTTGTTTTTATGAAGTACCACTCCTTTGCTTGGTTAGATTGGTTCGGAAGAGGAAATCCCCGTCACGCTCACGCTCATTCCCCAGTCAAACTGCTATTCTTGTTTTCGGCTCCTGTGGCCATCATGCCGCCGCCATGTGTCTCGCTTTTCCTCTCGCGAACCTTCGCTGAAAAACAACAAAAGCGCGGGGATGTTCGTGTACTGCCTCCTGCGGTTGTTCAAAGCCGGGGTCGCGGTTTTCTGGGCCTTCCCTTCCCCGTCCGGCAGCGGCCAGGGCGCGGTGGATGGAGGCATTTCTGGAGGGGAGGGGCCTGATCCCGCGACCCGGTTGGTGAGGTTCGCGCTGAACCGCCACCTGCTCGTGGATGAGGGAGACGCCGAGGGGTGGAGCGAGGTACTGTACGGTTTCGGCTTCGGTTTTGGATCCACGTCGGTGTCGCTCGTCTTGACTCGTGTGAGTGTTCTTTGATTGTCATCGGCTGTGCTAACCGGCTGGGCAATATTAAGACGTCAGGCTTACGGCGGGACAAAAACGGGAAGAAGTTTCCTGGGCGGTGAGTGCGCGTGTCAGTGACTGAGTGTAAGTGTTTTCTTAGTTAGCATCAACCGCGCCAACCGTCTGTGTGTGTGTGTAAAATGTGTTCATGTGTGTTGTCTGTAGCGGCGTGCGTGGTGCGTCGATGTTCTTGACGCTGGACAGCAGTAACCACCGTATTGGCCACTCGTGTTCATATTGCAGAGGGTTGCTCGAATGCTCTCAGACTAGAACGGTCGGATTCAGTTCGATACATGTCTTTTCGAAACAGTTTTTGGACAACCGCCTTAGCAGCAGAGGCATATTCGCGTATTCACACTCTTGCGTTATTGAGGACTTCTCTGTCATTAACTTAGAACTCTAACGTGTGTGCGGCAACTGATATCCTGTTTCACGCCAGCACTGGCAACCTTTCAAAGGTGCTGACTCGGACAATTCCGTTATCTGCGCAGGTACTCGTCCATTTGATTGACTTGTCCGCTTGTGCGCGTCGGCCTTGGTGCTCTTGTTGCCGCCACAGCTGTTGTCTTTCGTGCTGATCGGCGTTCTGGTCCTCCTACAGACGAGAGGCTTTCTCGCCACAATCACTACCGTGTCAAGAGCTTCTGTTATCAGCGGGTGAGTTGCTCCTCTTCATGCCGATGTCCATCTCCATATCTCAATCTCCGCCTCTCTCCCTCGAACACCGGGCGTGGGGGGGCGGCGGGAGAAAATTTTCGCCCGAGGTGAAAATTAAAAAGACAAAACACCCCTCCCCCCTACCATCGGCGATTGGTCCTGTTGGAACAACGCTCTCTCCTCTCGAGGACGCGTGGTCAATGGTCTAACAGCTAAGGCTCACAAAACATGAGCACGCCCCCTCCTATGCCAGTGTATCAATCCTTCCCCCTAGTAGAGAAATTTCCCCTCCGGTGTTTGCCATCGAGGTTTGGGTTTTCGTCGCTTGGCAACGACGTTGTAGAACAAGCCGTCGCCCCCGGTGTTTGCCATCGGGGTTGGGTTTTCGTCGCTTGGCAGCGATGTTGTAAAACAAGCCGATCACTTCGTAAGCTCGGCAACCAGGTTACCGCTTTTTTTTTGCCTTTGGGATTTCTTTTTGCGGTAACCATGAATGGTGGTCGAGTAGATTAGCGGGGTGGAGAAACCTCATTCCGCGCAAAGGGGATAATCGCACGTTGTGTTAAATTGGTCAAGCACCCTCGAGGCAGTTACACAGCGCTTACAGCTGTCTCTGGAAGTGAAAGCACCAGAAAATAAAATAAGTCATACGCAGCTGTCATCTGTACGCAAGGAAGTAAGCACAAGATGCCGAACACCCTTAGCAGGATGCAGCGCACCCTTCATGCGACTCGCCGAATACCTCGCGGCGCTTCGCGCTTGGTGATGTGAGAGCCTGGTCCGGTGAGAACCCGGCGTGCTCCGTCCCGGCTTTGTAGGGATGCGAGGTCAATGGTCTAACGACTACGGCATGCACGACAATGAGTACCCTCCCCCCCCCCTCCCCCCCCTAGTAGAGAACCCTCTCGACAACATATATCTTTCCCCCTCGGCCCGTCGTTGCCGCCCTCCTCGTGGACCCTCTTTCCCATCTTCCCCGCCTGACCCGCGCGAGGACGACAGCTTCTCGATACCCGCGCAGGTGCTATCGTTGCTCTGGTCCATGCTGATGGGCACGTACTTCACCTCGAGCGTGATCTTGATGCGCGTGAACCTTCCCCCGAGGCACCGGGTCGCGATCACGGCTGTGCTTGGCGGGATGAGGTAGGTTGTTGCCCGAAACGTAGGCGAAACTAAGGTGTTTATAGAGCCGAAGGGCGACAGCTAGCAACCGCAGCGCGCTACGGGAGAAACCTGTTCTCGATGCTCTTAAAATTTACAACGACCGCGATCGACGGAGTTTATGGTTGTAGGTCCGCTGTTTTGGAGTCATCTGTATCGATCTCGTCTGGGCGCCTCGTGTGCCAGTTCCCGGTAGAGGCATGGGGGTATTGTCCTCGAGTGACATGGGACCGCCACCTGTAAGGCTGTGCTTGTCCGCGCGAAGCTCTCCGATTTTCGCGACGTGTTTGATCCGAGGGTTTCCACTGCGTTCAGGTTCCCGTCTTTCAACGTTACCTTTTGGTTCTCACGAGCGCTGAATCGGAATCGGGCGCAGCTACGACGGCATAGGTAGTGTGCCTACCTAACTGCTCGCCGCCGCTATTATGCCGCAATGTTGCAATAACTCCTTCTTCCGTGGACACGCGTAACGGCACAGGTTCAGCTTCTACCAGCGGTGGTTCGACACCGTGTTCTTGATCTCCGGCTGCGTGACCGCCGTCACGCTCCTGGCGTTCCACCTCGCCAACCGAAACAGCGACGCGGACCACCACGAAGAGGACCACAACGGTAACACCCACCACCAACCACCACCAACAGCAACAGGAACTACAACAAGAGGTAGAGGACAGCAGGCAGAAAATGCGTACGGAGTAGGGGAAGGGGGCGGGGGGTTCGGTGTTGTTGCTGACCCGCGCGAAGGTGGCGGGCCGAGCAGCAGCGGTGGCGGGGGCTATTACTCGAAGGGCGGCGAACCGTCCGCGGTTCGGCCTAGAGGGAGAGGGGCAGTGGACTTGTCGGGCTGGGACTACAGAACGTCTTTTTCTTCAGCGGGCAGGGGTGGAGGCGGTGGGGTTTCCGGTGGCGAGAGGCAGGCGGGTGGTGGCCGAAGATCGAAGCAGTCCTAGCTCTTGTCGCCAATGCGGCGTCTGCAGGCTGGAACATGTTTCTCGAGAACGATTGTGTTCGCAGTACTTGGACGTTTGCTGACGTTGGGTTGGGTCTGACGGGTGGAATGGTGTTGGTATTGTGTGGTGTTGGTTTGAAGAGATACACGCAACCGTCCACGGCCCATCGGTTTGTTTCATCGCGTTCGATGGCGCTCGTAGTTTCTACCTTGTACCGTTCGATCTTGCATCGCCACGTATCCGAAGAGTCCCTATCGGGGTAGACGAGCAATCCTTTGTGGAGGAGCCTTGATTCCTAGCGCGATAAGGCTCCCATGGTTCCCAGCATAGATGAACACGCTGGTGTTTGCAGTGGATTTTGCTCCATCCCAATGTCCATTCTGCAGAACACCGGATATTTTAAGCTATGCCAGAGAAAGGTCGGGGGTAAAAACATCACGACAGCAACGACGAGGCGCCTGGAAATCGACTATGTAGCCAGACACGAAATCCTATCACCCGACGACCGGTCGCGAGTCCCATCAGCCCCCCGCACACAAGACGCTCCACATTTCTACAATTTGGCGCTACAAGCGGAGCTCGAACATCACATGGACAATGGGCTTTGTCGGTCTCCCTGGTTATTCAGTTCGTACATCCTCCTGGCCTTTTGGCGCTGGGACATGGGTACGACTCTCTGCGCAGTCACACCTACAGTAGCTGGGTTTTTTTCCCACGTCATGCCCAACAAGTGGAAAGCAAGCCACACAAGCTTCGATTCCATGACGAAAATGACGGCTGAATCCATTAGGGATAGAGAATGGTGGGAAGATAAGGAAGTCGGAGGACGAAATTAATTCCAAACGACCTTTTCTCGTGAAGGCGTGCCCCCGGCTGGCCCGTCCACATGAACCACGCGCTCTGAAATTCAGAATACGTGTAGAACGCGAGAAAATATCATCGAGCAAGAACCACCTGGTACCATTACCTGACAGATAACACTGAGCAGAATTCAAGCCATTTCTTGTTTCAGGGGGAAAAAAAATATTGTATCGTCGCTGAATGTTTGCTGCAACTACTGAAAAATATTGGCTACTACTGCCTTGGTGATACTACTAATTTACAATAACCTATGAGGTTTCGGCAACAGAGCACGAAGAGAGGGATGTCACAGCGCGACAACAACTCCTATTTGTGCGACGAAGACGACCCACTAAGGCTGTCGCCATTACCCCGGCGTGCATGTTCCTTTTCCCTCCTCAGCTTTTTGGCTTCGCCGACCATGAGAAAGTAGAACCGGTCGTAGTCTGTTGTAGCCAGTAGGATCTCGATGAAGAACCTGTGCATGTCAATTGATGTCCGGCTGATGATGGGTTGTTACGCGCGTCAGCAACAATGCGGGCTGCTGCAAACCAAACCCACAAACGGAGAGTGATATATCAGGTTGTGAAAAGACCAGGCGAAATCACCCAGCAATTGGACTTCTTCGGGTAGTGCTATGTAAATAGTGCCCAATATTGATAACTTAGAATGTAAGCAACGCTCAACCGCCCTGCATCCTGCATTGAGGTGCGTTTATATGTCGCACAAAACGGGGTGCAGTCAATCTCCTTTCTCTGCTCGATGTCCCCACGACGCCTAAAGAGCCGACGTCGCAAGCAGAAAAGAGGGTTTGGTGTGGAATGGACCCTGTGGACAGAGCTTTTCGTGATCATGTTGTTCAGCGTCAATTGCACGCTCTGCCATTGTTGAAGGAGTGAAGCTGGAAAATGACCCCATCTGTGCTTAAAACTAGGTGAAACGCCGCATTCTACCCGACGACGTGATGATGGCTTAGCAATGCTGTCTCTACCACTCAGCCCGTTGTGGTGGTAACCAGTCCCGTACCAGGCCACGACTCGAGAAAAGACGAATCCCTTCATATTCGCTAGCATCACACAAGGCAACTAAGCGATGAAAAATCTACCAATCGCTGTTCCTGATAATAAGTATTAATAGTTGTTGTAGTTGTCGGTGTGATTCGCGCTTGGAACAGAGACCAACCTTCGAGGAGAGAACTCCTCGAGCGTTTGAAGAGCTTCCTCGCACTCCTGCTGGAACTGCTCCACTGTCCCCCCCGCCTCTTCCTCGATAAACCCTGCGACAGAATTTGCCATGTAGAATAAGCAGAGAAGTGTCAATGATAATCTCATGAAGGAAAACCTCCCCTTGTCCACAGGGTGGTTTGTCCACAAGAACCCACCAAAAAAGGTGTCGCTGGACCCCTTGGTCGTAGGCACACCCAAGAAACTGGAGCTCTCTCGAACATGCGACACCAAGAACCCCTCCCCCCCCCCTCCCCCCCGGGAAAATTGGACGAAAACAGAAAATCAGGGTCAGATTTTTTAGTATCTTTACTATTCCGTAGATAGGACCTGTGGAGGTTCCAGCTCCCGAACTCACACCCTTGCCATTTAAACGAATATAGTCTGCAAAAAGAGGCCGATAAACAAACGCCCCAGCAGCGTGTAGTATTCAAATCGATGGATAGGCATGCATACGATTCAGGTAATATGCACCATGGTATTGTTTTTCGCTTCTCATGGGACACTTCTTTGTACATCCGTTCGCTGTGGGTCCACGAAACGCATGTCCCATCTTGCCTCATCAATGGTAACCCTAAGAGAGAGGTGACAGGTTGGTGCCATAAGCAATGCTGATGCCACCGTTGCACATCACCGAAGACTTCACCCTGCGAGTGCTTTCCGAAGAACAGTGCTACTGCGCCCGCTTGCGGTTCCGAATGCGCCAGTGATGACGAAGTTGCCTTACTCGTTATGTGTCCCGGTTGGTGCCGTACACCTACAAATGTGTACACGTATGGAAGATAAAAACTAGTTGTCAAAACTTACCTGAAATCTTGTTTTCAAAGTGTCTCAAGAATAAGTTGTACACCTCCGTGAACTCGAGTTTGTGCTCCACCTCGCCTGGTGATGTCCACTGGCCCTCGTCCGCGGTGTCCAAGAACGGCTCGTGGTGCTTCCTAGATATCGTACGGTTGGTATGTTGAACACAACAGTCACGAAATCTTTTGTATGAATCCACCCAAAGATCAAGGAATTGAAAAGGCGGGAAACCGGTGCCGTTGTGACACATACAGGAAAATCAAACAGCCTCGCTAGTCACAAAATCATCGTGACAGGTCATCTGCCGACAATTCTTCCAGCAGACCTTCATGCAGGTGTCGATGATTGTTCCAATCTCCTAGGAGAGCCTTTCGAACCCGTTGTGTCTACCAGTATCTCGGAGTCTGCACCAATGGGGGGACTCTATTGTTGTGGGGACTACCGTAACGTACGTGTACTTCCATTCCTACCCCCCCCCCCCCCGGTGTTTGCCATCGGGGTTGGGTTTTCGTCGCTTGGCAACGACGTTGTACAACAAGCCCCCCCTCAGTGTTTGCCATCGGGGTTGGGTTTTCGTCGCTTGGCAACGACGCTGTAAAACAAGCCAATTCACTTCGTGAACTCGGCAACCAGGTTACCGGGTTTTTTTTGCCTTTGGCTTTTTTCTTTGGCGGTAACCGCAATGGTGGTCGAGTAGATCATGTTGTGCGGGGTGGAGAACCCTCACTCCGCGCAAGGGGGATGATCGCACCACGTTGTGTTGAAATGGTCAAGCATCCTCGAGGCAGTTACTACACAGCAGTGCGTATAGCTGTCTCTGGAAGTGAAAGCACCAGAAAATAGATTAAGTCATACGTAGCTGTCATCCGTACGAAAGGAAGTAAGCACAAGATGCCGAACACCCTTAGCAGGATGCAGCGCACCCTTCATGCGACTCGCTGAATACCTCACGGCGCTTCGCGCTTGGTGATGTGAGAACCTGGTCCGGTGAGAACCCGGCGTGCTCCGTCCCGGCTTTGTAGGGATGCGAGGTCAATGGTCGAACGACTACGGCATGCACGACTATGAGTACCCCCCCCCCCCCCCCCCCCCCCCCC